GTACTCGGCTCTGCTCTCTCTGTCCAGCGCTCCTTCTGTTACCAAGGTGTAGAAATTTTCAACGGATGTTCTTAGAAGAAAGGGGAGATTGTCATCTATAGAACAAGTAACCTGTTGGTTATGTCCAGAATCTGCATCCGATACGCTGAAAACTGCCACTATGATCTCAGGCAGGTTTTCAGGGATGGGGTTGGTAAGTGACGACATAGTCAGTTCGGGAGCATTGTCATTCACGTCCAGGACCTTGATGACTAAACTGCATTTTCCTGATAGTCCCCCACCATCTGTGGCCTCAACATCCACCTGATATGATTGAAATTCCTCAAAATCCAATGTCTTTCTCAGTCGAATTTCTCCCGTATTTGCGTTTATTTCGAAGGGTTGGTTAACATCATCGACTTGAAATAGGGCATAAGATACCTGCCCAAAGGATCCTGCGTCTAAATCTCTCGCTGAGACGGTGAGAACCAGAGAGCCCACGGAGCTATTTTCAGGGACTTGGGCCTCATAGAATTCCTGAGCAAACTCGGGGGCGTTGTCATTGCTGTCCAAGACCACGATCTGAATTTTTGTGGTCCCAGACCGGGGCGGAGACCCGCCATCCAGCGCTGTGAGGATTAGCCTGAGCTCGGGCTGCTCCTCACGGTCCAACGCCTTGTCCAGTACCAGCTCTGGGGACTTCCTGCCGTCCTTGCGGTTCCGAGTGAGAACGTGGAAGTGAGGATTGGAGCTGATTTTGTAGCTCTGAAGGCTGTTGCTACCAGCGTCTAAATCCTGTGCCATTTTCAAAGGAAATACCTTTCCTGGCATAGTAATTTCTGATATTTTTAGTAGCATTTCTCTAGCGGGGAACTCTGGGGCGTGGTCATTTATATCTCTAATTAGCAAGGCAGCCTGAAAAAACTGCAAGGGATTTTCCAGTAACACTTGGAAGGGTAGCACACAGGGCTCAGTAGAGCCGCAAAGCTCCTCCCGGTCCAGTTTTTCATTTAGCAGCAAATCATAGGTCTCTGGATCAAACTGCAAATACTGCCTATTCCCTTTAAAAACAACTCGGGCGGCCCGGGCAGCGAGCTCTCCCATTGTGAGTCCCAGGTCCTTTGTCAGGTTGGCCACAAATGTGCCACTTTCTGTCTCCTCCAGTATAGAGTACTGAATCGATTCTGAACCTGCCTCCCACAAAAGAATCAATATAATAAAGATCACCACTTGCCTTTTCTTATGATGTACTTTTGTTTGCACCATCTCCATTGTTATGTCTGGTTCCAGAGGAAAAATCCTTTTCCAATCCCAATCACCACGTCCGCCGTTGACCCTCCAAAATGTCTGCTATAAAATTTCAAATTCGTTCTTATAATTTGTCTGGTGGCGTCCACTCCCCGAACACTTCTATCTTAGCTTTAGCTGTGTGTTCTGTATTTTTTTCTTGGGTTTCTCCGTGAAATGGAGTCCACTGAATGCAGAGCTTTTATCCACTCTCTTAGCCTGCACTGCCACCATGCGTTCAAATTAATAACTTCGTGGGGTGCTGCAGGTCAACACCACATCCAAAATCTGAGCATTAAAAGGTTTTTTTAAAAGTCAGTGTTTCTCAAACTGTAGTGTGTGAAACACATGCATAAAGACTTACCTGGGAGTCTCGGGGTGTTTTTTCAAAGTCAATTCCTGAGCTCCCCTCTAGAACTTGAATCAAATTCTCTGGCAGTACTAACAGAAATTTGCACTTCAGTCTTACTTCTTAAGTGATTCTGATGCGAACTAACACATTTAAGAATCATTCCCTCAGGTAATGTAAACTTCCTAAAACCAACTTTTATTCATTGGCAGTGCAGTTTATCTCTGAGGAGCAGTGTAATTTCTGAATCCAAGTATACTATTTAATTGTCCCATCAACAAACTATACAAAATGTAAAAGTTGGTTAGCAAGACCAATCTTAAAATAGACAATCATTCTCTAAATTATATGGCTAATAATATGATATGAACAACATACTTACTTTGTTTTGTGTGCACACCTGCACAGTACAGGGAACAATTAGGCTATTAGGAAAATTGAGGCCAAGAAATACTTATGATAGAAGTATCTAATCAAATTAAGGTATTTAAAAGAGGGACTAGGAGCAATCAGGTATCTGTCATAAGTAAGCATTTTAGGATTCCCTTCATTTTTGTATGGGTAGAAATGGTCATGATTTTATTAGTGGTCTTCATTTTATTGTAACTTTTGGGTTAAATTTCCCTACTATATTAAGTAATTAATCAAGGTCCAAATATATTGCCCTGTTGTAAGAGCATATGCAATGCAGAAAACAAACATTCAAGGATCACCTCTACCAGTCTCTCACAACAAGGATGACACTAGGTCCTATAAATATAGACCAAATAAGGTAGTGTGAAAGGTGAATTATATTTGAGTGGATACCTTGGAATTCAATGATGGTTCATCATGGCTATATTCATTCACAGCTCACCAATTTCTGCTCAGATAAATTGGAAAATGTATCTCTAAACTTCCTGAGAATACATTAAATGGGTCAGTGCATATCTGAGTACACAAAATACACCAAACATAATTCATTTAAGAATGATTTCATATTTATTGAGAGGTGAAATCAATCGAGTTCAAGCAAAATTCACTTCAGGTAAGGAGTGAATATGGAGGATTAAAAATGATATTTTTCAAAATACTTCAACTCTAGCTAAAATAAATAAAGGTAAATAAATCTAAACTCTGAACAGATGAAGTCATTTTGTAGTTGAAAAGCACCTCTATCTACCCAGAAGGATAAAATTAAGATCATTTTGTTTCACTTGATAAATGTTACTGAGAACAGACTTCCTTGAGGATCTGAATAACAAAATACACTGATGAGGTAAAACCAACAATCATAAACATCTTAGATGGGTTTAGTTTCTTCTCTGAAACAAAATTATTTCTAGCTCAATCCTAAATGCTTCCTCCTTTCAGTGGGCAGTCTGAGTTCTGATTCCAACTTAATGGCATCGCTGGCATCCACAGTGTCTTTTATTCACTCTCTTTGCCTGCAGGCATCCTCAAATACAGCTTATTAAAATATTTTTTCATTTTAAAGCAAATCTTAATTATTAGTACAGTATGTGTAAAAAATCAAGTTAGATCATTGAAGTGTCTGTGAGAGCATTACCTGTTATGATAGAGAGAAAGAAGATAGTATCTTTTTGTTATCTTCTTTGGTTTCCTCTTTTTTTAAAAATTTATTTATTTTTGGCTGCGTTGGATCTTCGTTGCTGCACGCGGGCTTTCTCTAGTTGTGGCAAGCGGGGGCTGCTCTTCATTGCCGTGCGTGAGCTTCTCATTGCGGTGGCTTCTCTTGTTGCAGAGCACGGGCTCTAGGCGCGGGGGCTTCAGTAGTTGTGGTTCGTGGGCTCTAGAGCGCAGGTTCAATAATTGTGGTGCACAGGCTTAGTTGCTCTGAGGCATGTGGGATCTTCCTGGACCAGGGCTCGAACCCATGTCCCCTGCATTGGCAGGTGGATTCTTAACCACTGCGCCACCAGGGAAGCCCCTCTTTTTTAAAAAAAAATTTTTTTTTTGGCTACATTGGGTCTTTGTTGCTGTGCACGGGCTTTCTCTAGTTGTCGCGAGCAGGAGCTACTCTTCATTGCGGTGCACCAGCTTCTCATTGCAGTGGCTTCTCTTGTTGCAGAGCACGGGCTCTCAGGCCTGCGGGCTTCAGTAGTTGTGGCACGAGGGCTCAGTAGTTGTGGCTCACGGGCTCTAGAGTGAAAGCTCAGTATCTGTGGCGCACAGGCTTAGTTGCTCTGTGGCATGTGGGATCTTCCCAGGCCAGGGCTCGAATCCATGTCCCCTGCATTGGCAGGCGGATTCTTAACCACTGCACCACCAGGGAAGCCCCAAGAAGATAGTATCTTAATGTAACCCCAAAAGATATCAGTTGGGTATGTGAAGAAACTGCCTTTTTGGAAAGTGGATTACATTAGATTCCAACAGGAAAATGCTTCTCAGTTGCTTTGATTTGATCGGCTAGAGTTGAATTGACTTTGCTTTTACAAACGTCTCACAAGGAATAATTCATTTCAAGTCTTTATTATGGAAAAAGTTCAACATATACAAAGTAAACAGCATAAACTTGCATGTACACATCACCCAGCTTCACAACATTCTCTCTTGTTTCATCTGTACTTTTTCCTCCACTTTATGCCTCCCACTCAGTGTTTTTTTTTTTGTATAGTTATTTTCTTTTTTTCTTTTTTTAACATCTTTATTGGAGTATAATTGCTTTACAATGGTGTGTTAGTTTCTGCTTTATAACAAAGTGGATCACCTATACATATACATATATCCCCATATCTCTTCCCTCTTGCATCTCCCTCCCTCCCACCCTCCCTATCCCACCCCTTTAGGTGGTCACAAAGCACTGAGCTGATCTCCCTGTGCTATGCGGCTGCTTCCCACTAGCTATCTATTTTACGTTTGGTAGTGTATATATGTCCATGCCACTCTCTCACTTTGTCCCAGCTTACCCTTCCCCCTCCCCGTATCCTCAAGTCCATTCTCTAGTAGGTCTGTGTCTTTATTCCCATCTTGCCTCTAGGTTCTTCATGACCATTTTTTTTTTGTTTTTTAGATTCCATATATATGTGTTAGCATACGGTATTTGTTTTTCTCTTTCTGACTTACTTCACTCTGTATGACAGACTCTAGGTCCATTCACCTCACTACAAATCTCAATTTCGTTTCTTTTTATGGCTGAGTAATATTCCATTGTATATATGTGCCATATCTTCTTTATCCATTCATCTGTTGATGGACACTTAGGTTGCTTCCATGTCCTGGCTATTGTAAATAGAGCTGCAGTGAACATTGTGGTACATGACTCTTTTTGAATTATGGTTTTCTCAGGGTCTATGCCCAGTAGTGGGATTGCTGGGTCGTAGGGTAGTTATATTTTTAGTTTTTTAAGGAACCTCCATACTGTTCTCCATACTGGCTGTACCAATTCACATTCCCACCAGCAGTGCAAGAATGTTCCCTTTTCTCCACCCCCTCTCCAGCATTTATTGTTTGTAGATTTTTTGATGATGGCCATTCTGACCGGTGTGAGATGATATCTCATTGTAGTTTTGATTTGCATTTCTCTAATGATTAATGATGTTGAGCATTCTTTCATGTGTTTGTTGGCAATCTGCATATCTTCTTTGGAGAAATGTCTGTTTAGGTCTTCTGCCCAATTTCGGATTAGGCTTTTTGTTTTTTTCATATTGAGCTGCATGAGCTGCTTGTAAATTTTGGAGATTAATCCTTTGTCAGTTGCTTCATTTGCAAATATTTTCTCCCATTCTGAGGGTTGTCTTTTCATCTTGTTTATGGTTTTCTTTGCTGTGCAAAAGCTTTTAACTTTCATTAGGTCCCATTTGTTTATTTTTGTTTTTATTTCCATTTCTCTAGGAGGTGGGTCAACAAGTATGTTATAGAGTGTTCTGCCTATGTTTTCCTCTAAGAGTTTTTTTTTTTTTTTTTTTTTTTTGTGGTACGCGGGCCTCTCACTGTTGTGGCCTCTCCCGTTGCGGGACGCGCAGGCTCAGCGGCCATGGCTCACGGGCATAGTCTTTCCGTGGCATGTGGGATCTTCCCGGACCGGGGCACGAACCCGTGTCTCCTGCATCGGCAGGCGGACTCTCAACCACTGCGCCACCAGGGAAGCCCCCTCTAAGAGTTTTATAGTGTCTGGCCTTACATTTAGGTCTTCAATCTATTTTGAGTTTATTTTTGTGTATGGTGTTAGGGAGTGTTCTAATTTCATTCTTTTACATGTAGCTGTCCAGTTTCCCCAGCACCACTTATTGAAGAGGCTGTCTTTTCTCCACTGTATATTCTTGCCTCCTTTATCAAAGATAAGGTGACCATATGTGCATGGGTTTATCTCTGGGTTTTCTATCCTGTTCCATTGACCTATATTTCTGTTTTTGTGCCAGTACTGTATAGTTCTTTTCTTAAGATAATGTTTACACAAATTGAAATGCACCAATCTTAACTGTATCATTTTTAACAAATGGATCCATCAGTGTTAAAGATAATGAACGTTTCCATGATTCACTGGGAACTGTCTTAATTATATTTTCCAGGTTAATTTTAATAATTATGTGGCAAAATATTGGTCTCCTCTGG